AAGAGGGTAGATTTAGACTTGACATAAGTTTTTTTTTACAAAAAAAATGTTTTACAATGTCTGCTGTGACAGAACAAGGGGTAATGGTTTTAAACTAAAAGAGGGTAGATTTAGACTTGACGTAAGTTTTTTTTTTTACAAAAAAATTTTTTTACAATGAGCGTGGTGAAGCACTGGAACAGGTTGCCCAGAGAGGTGGTGGAAGCCCCATCCCTGGAGGCATTCAAGGTCAGGCTGGATGGGGCTCTGAGCAACCTTATCTAGCTGGAGATGTCCCTGCTCACCACAGGGGGGTTGGACTAGATGACCTCTAAAAGTCCCTTCCAGCCCAAATGATTCTATGATTCTATGACTCTGGTTCAGGTGGTTTATCATTAATTTGCTCTCTTCCTTCAAAATCTTAACACTTCCCTTGCACTAAACTCTTTCACAAAATTACAGAAACATAGAACTTTGAGAAATAACAACCAAATAGAATCTGAAGGAGAGGATCTGACATTGTGCTCTGGTCTACATAACACCAAAAGTAGTTTAATGTGAAAAAAAACCCTCTACTTGAATTTCTGTTCTTAACAATGTCACTAAAAAGACTTATTAGCAGTGCTGGTTAAGTAGAGATGCCATTACCAGAAAGCTACAACCATTTCATCACTTCGTTTCAGACTAAGGACTTTTCCCTGTTGGCTTCTTTTCTTGCTGTTACCCTCTAGCACCAGCTGTCAGGCAACGTAGATTTCTAACCCCTACTGACCAGCCAAATCCTTATCTTCTCCGCCGTCCAACTGTTCTCCTTCCTGCTGTAACTCTTCATTCTGTATAATTATTCCCTAAGCATTTATCTCCTTAAAAAAAAAGATTTCCATCATCATCACCTTTTTCGTAACTAATTCTTCAATTATCTGGGGTTTGAGTGTGGAAATTAGGGTTAAGGATATTAACACACATAGCAGAAAATCTGAATATAAAAGAAGTCAGGAATTGTAATTCATTTATCAAGGGGAACTCTACCTTGATCATGCTGAAAATAAGTACAGCAGCATTTCATGGCAGTTTAAGAGCTACCTTAAAATCCGTCATAAATAACAACTCAGACACTTCATAGGAAACATAACTTTTTCAAGTATATTTGTGTACCAAAATTGAGGGCTGCTTAGGAAACATACCAGTTCAAGTGCAAAAATCTACCTCCTGACCCTTTCATCATGCTACTTACACAGAAAAGGCTACATTTAAGGATTATGACTGCAGAGTCAAGAACTTAATCTGGAAATGTCATATATAGGGTAGTCCCTGCAGCTTTAATTTCTTTCCGGCCACAGTGTTTAAATATAGTACTGTGATCCTGGTTTTAACTACAGGACCATAGATTATTTTTCTGCATTGACAGCTCTCAGGTCTAAGATTCTTGAATAAGCATAAAGATGACATGTCTGCTGGACTCCTGCTTCATTTTCTGCATTTGTTGAGTGAGGAGGCATAAATAGCTCTAGTAAGCACAGGAAACTTTTAGGATAAAGACAAAAGAAAGATGTTACAGAGAACTGAATTTATTCCTACTTCTGCCACAGAATTCCTATGCAATGCTGGTAAAACTACATAAATCCACTTTTTTAAAACAGGTGGCTAATGATCTATGCTTCCCTTCTTTGGCTCTGAGCTCTTGTTTTCTTTTCCAGTCATTGCTAGTATCTGTTTCCTGTCCTTACCTGCAACCATAAATTATGGCTTTGCAGGCTCTTTGTCCCAATTTCTTCTTCCAACTTATCCAAGACATTAAATATCTCCCCTTACTCCACTGAATAATGTAGCTTTCTTCTTCATTCCTTCCGGGTGCCAATTAGAAAGGAGTTGAGAGAGTAGTCACACAACGTAGGAGAATGAAGATCTCGGCTCTTGACACTGGTGACCTACTACACCCCAACCTGAAACAGTCGTCATGGGGAAACTCTCTATATTTCGCTCCTCTAGAGCTGGGGATAGCTTACGTACAAAACAGTACACGTTATGCTGCAGCTCTTTGGTTATGTCGCACATGCAGACCTGTTAGGGCAAGCAAGTGACCACGCATGGTCTTTAAAGACTATCTTAAGTATTAACAAATCCATAGAACTTGCAATGGATCATTAGCATTTCAGAGGCTTTTATTTTGGTCATATTTAGGTGGCTTTTAACAGGTGAAAGAAGAGATCTAAAAAAAGTCTAGCACCCTGAAAAGTGCCAAGTTCGTGTGGCAGGCACAGGAAGCACTACAGCCACCCAAGAAAGGTTGCTATTATGTTAACACTAAGGAAGCAATGCTTTTTTCCCCAGTTTCGCTTCATAAATGGCCAAACTATTTAATTGGGGTGAGAGGGAGAATGACCCAACAGCATACAATCTGCATTTCATTCCAAGCAATTACATGTTGCAGAAACAACTTGTAACTGGGAGCAGTTTTACAGAGGGTATCATCAGTCCAGTTCAGTAACAGTCATGTATTGCCAGTATTTCCTACTGGAAACTTCATATCCAAACATTACTGGCTTTGGCTATAATATCAGTATGTTGTATCAGCAGGTGATTGCTTTTGTTTGTTTTATTTTCCTTAAAAAGAGTGAAATAAAAATTCCACAAGTAGCTTAGATCAGTAGGAATAATTTCCAGAAAAATAAAACTTAACATAGCAAAGTTTTAACTTCAAAGTAAATTTTTAAAAGATTTCAACATCTCATTCATGAAGAACACACCTGTAGGCAGGTAATACCAGAAAAATAGTCATCCACTTAGGTTCAACTACAAAAGAAAGTTCAGTTCTTAAGAGTTAAAATTTTCCATACTCATAAAATAAAACAAAAAAAAAATCCATTCAAAGGCAAGTTGCATTACCAAAGCATAGATTACCATGTAATGGCCTTCACAGTGAAATTTGTCTGTACTGTGCATTCCTTCTTCCGATATGATTGGGAAAAGTGATTTATCATGTAACAAGTTTACATGCTAAGTAACAAGTGGGCAGCCAGAGAAGAAAAGACATTTTGAGAAAAAGACACATTTCCTCACTTAGATGCTCTAATGTTTCAACACTTTCACAAATCAGAGCTGCCCATTTAATTGCTTAGTTAAGAAATCTTTCATTACCTTAAAAGACAAAGTTCCAGTCATTTGTACGCACTTAATCATTCATCCATCAAAATCTGACATGACATTCAACATTGCTTCTAGGCCTCAGATAACAATTCCTCCACGAGTGACCTGTATCAAAAGGCCAAACGCTAAAAAGCTCCAGGACCATTGCAAAGAAACTGGCATCTGGCCTATACTCACTAGATTTCATGGCATTCGGGGCGTTGGAAGGTGCATTCCCCCAGCCTGTTGTCGATGCTCCTGTATCATCTACTTCACCCCACCCGGGACTGGTTTCATTTGGCTCACCCCAGGCGGACGTACCATTATCTGGAGCAGGTGGAGTGCTTTTGCTCCAGACTGCACAAAGGAGAAAGAGTTTTCATTACAGACCATTTAGACAATAAACTATTTACTGCAGTGCAGTACCACTTCATTAATCTACTGCTTCACTCTTTTCGTTGAGGACTTTAGATTCTCAATAGCGTGGGTGCAACAGAGTTGACAACCGTTGACCTGAAACTCAGAGTGGGCACTGACCCCCAGAGACGAAAAGGAACAGAACGGTATGATGAGTAATATTCTTCTCCCAAGTTAAACATGAACCCCACGTCTAATGTTGTCCTCCTATCTGGTGAACTTTTGTGACTAATTAAAAAGCACCAGACTAACTTAGGGTTTTCATATACTGAAGAAAGAATAAGGACATATTTGAAGTACATATTATAACAAAATAGTATTCTTTAAAGCGTGTTTGAGTCAGAGATGACATACAATAACATCTTAATATACTTCCAGGCTATGTAAATTTTCTTGTCTGTATTTCAAAGACAAAAAATATTTTGCTAAATATTCCTTATCATACAGCAGAGCCAAATTGAGTTAAACACTTAAATCACAGACTTGTTCAAGTGTTAACTGAGTGTTTCAGAGCAAAAAGTTTTTGACTAAAAATAAGTATATTAGAGAAACAGGGAGAAATTCTTTAACAAATGTGATATAGCCTAGAGAAAAAGAGGTTGAGGGGAGGCCTTATCGCTCTCTACAACTACCTGAAAGGGGGTTGCAGCGAGGTGGGGGTCGGTCTTCTCCCAAATAACGAGTGATAGGATGAGAGGAAACAGACTCAAGTTGTATCAGGGGAGGTTTAGATTGGATATTAGGAAGAATTTCTTCACTGAAAGGGTCATCAGGCATTGGAACAGGCTGCCCAGGGAAGTGGTGGGGTCACCATCCCTGGAGGTGTTTAGAAGACGTGTAGATGCGGTGCTCAGGGACATGGTTTAGTGGTGGGCCTGGCTGTGTTAGGTTTACAGTTGCACCCAATGATCTTAAAGGTTTTTTTCCAAGCTAAATGATTCTATGATTCAACTTTTTCTTCAGAGCTCAGACTGAATATGCAGATTTGTCAGCCAACAAACATTTTCTTTTACTCACAAGCTGACCAGTATTCAGATCACAGTTACTGAGGCACAACAAGCAGAGAACTGATCGCTTCAAATTTTAAAGGCACTTTAAATACAGAACCAAACATTCAAATAAGAAATTGGTTTTCTTTATGGAATAAAACTATTAGGAACCAGAGGATACATGAGTGTGTCTCATGCACTGGAGGCTACACGAGTATCTCTTATGCGTTAAGGTTACACTTACATATAGGAGCTTGCTGAACAAAGGAACAACACTAGTACCTGATGCTTGTGATTTGCTAGTCATTGGAGTAGGCAGGCTCTGCTCCCGTGGGGCCTGTCCTCCTTGTGAGTTCTTGTCCCACAGGTTCACATTCTTGTAGTTATAACTGCTAGGATCTCCCCACGCTGAAGTGCCATCATCAATATCCATTTTTCGACTGATTGACTGTGGAGAAGGTTCTTCCCAGCCACTAGGCTCCTCCTCTTTGGGGGCAGCTGGCTGTGGTCCACTGTTCCAGTTTGGGTTTGGAGGTCGCCCATTACTTGGGGTTTGGGGTGGTGGACCCCAGGAACCAGAAGACTCCTGCTGTTGCTGCTGGTGCTGCTGCTGCTGCTTGTTCCAGGAGTTGGGCTGTCGACCCGTCTCATTCCATGTTGAAGTTCTTTTACAATCATCCCATCCACCCTTTGAAGCAGAGCTTGTATTTGCACCATTACCCCAAGTTCCAATCTCATTTTGCCCACCTTCGCCCCAACCAGACACTGGCTTGTTTCCTGCACTTTCCCAGTTGCTGTTTTTTGTTTGGTCAACTTCCTCTCCCCAACCGTTCTTTCCAGAAGACCATCCTTGATTAGGCTGCCGTTCACCCCACCCCTGATCCTTACTAGACCTCTCATTCCAAGAGGAAGATGATTTTTCTTCTGGTCTTCCTCCTCCCCAATTAGAAGAATTGGGGTTCTTATAGTCATTCCACCCTCCAGTATTTTTGGGGTCCTTCCACTCCGTTGGGGTTGAGAGCTCACCCCATCCAGACTTGATTTGATTGCTTTGGCTGGGTACATCGCCCCAGCCCCCTGAGTTCTTTGTCTGTGTGGCAGAGCTCTCCCACCCCTCAGTTCCTTTATCAGACTTCCCCTCGGGCCGCGGCATCTCTTCAATATCCCACACGGTATCTTGCTTAATTTGAGTTTGGCCCCAGCCGGTGTTTGAAAGCACTCGGGGGTCCAAATCAGTCCTGCTCAGCAAAGTCTGCAAGACTGCCTGGCAATCAGGATGCGTAGGCCTATATGATCGGCGTCCAGAATTGTGACTGTCACTACTTCCTGCTTTGTGGTTGCTTCCAGTGCTTTGACCTCCAACCTCACTTCCCGCAGAGCTGGAAGATCTTCCCCAACAGGGAGCCTGGGAATTGCCTTGGTTTTCAGGAAGAGGGTGGCCTTTTTGATTGTCCCATGCTCCAGTGCTAGAATTTGGTTGGTTTGGACCACTCCATTCTCCAATCTTCAGTTCATCAGACCCAGACAGCTGTTTCCATTCTCCCTGAGAGACCCCAGATGTTAATTTGTTCCCTTCACCCCATTTGCTTTCGTTTGCATGCTGAGGGCCAAAGTTCCAAGACCCACCACCCGTAGACCGGTTATTGTTATCCCAAGAATCACTTCTTGACCCATTAGGTTTTTGAACAGAAGCTCCTTTCCAGGAGTCCTCTCTATCCTTTCCATTGTTCCCATGGTTTCCAGAATTGCTCTGTCCAGAGACTGTGTCAGTTCCAGAAGACCCCCTAGCTGTACCCCAAGATCCAACACTCCCAGTCTTTCTTTCTCCAGTGCTTTGTGAAGGGGTGTCAGTGCTCCTGGAAGGGTTCCCCAAGCCCATTTCAAAGGGCATTCCCTTATTCTCCATAGGGTTTGGTGAACTTAAGTTCAAGGAGTTAGTGTTTCCATTTTTTGGTCCATCAGTGTTATGAATTTGAGCCTGTTCTCTGCCAGAGACAAAGTTAACACCCGCATTTTCCATCTTTGACTGCTGTTCCCTAGAGGTCTGACCTACTGTGCTAATCTGTACATTGGAGCTACCGCTATCAGATTCCAAAGTCCCTTTCCTAGAATTGCCCTCCTGAACCAGTGCCGGCCAAGCAGACGGGTTGCTATTTGGGTTAAAGTTGCTGAAGCCAGAACCGGGACTGATTCTATCTTGTCCACTCAAGTTCCTCCAATTACCTAGTCCATTGTTACTCTCGGCAGCAGGGTTGGAAGATTGAACAGATTTAGCCTTGGGATCAGATTTCCAGGCCCCAAGATTACATTCGTTTCCAGCGCTTCCAGACTGGCACTGGCTTCCTTTTCCTTTGTTACTAGTGGTGCTTCCTGGCAGAGCGTTCTTCTCCAAGCCAGGGTTCGAGGCACTGTTGTTATCGGTGGTGTTTTCGGAAGAAGACTCAGCATCTTTGCTGGCAATACAAGGCCACTCTTCCATGTCAGACCCGTCTACAATCACCTTGTCCCAGATGTGAGTTGGGTTGGCGTTGGTGCCGCTGTTGGAGGAGGCTCCAGGACCCCAAGTGGAATTTGCATAATTTGAAGCAGCCGCACCTCCAATTGCTGAATCTAAAAAAAAAATCAAAAAACAAAAAACACACCACACCCAAAAAGGTCATTAATAATCAGTATTATTTACAAGCACTGAACATCGCATTTTTGACACGACTGATTACTGTTTCTATTAATAAGAAACCTTCCCTCAAACAGGTAACAAAGTTGTTTTGGAAGAACTTCAGGTTGGAAAACACCATTGAAAATACTGATAAAAAGCTGCTTTCAACAAACTCCCCGCAAGTGTTTTGTGGGCATTTGAATTCACCGTTGACTCACTACTTCTGCTAACAGTCTAGCTCTAAGTTCAACATAATAATTATAACCCAGTTAATGAACATTGCTGATACTGGTTGTAGACTTCTCAAACACACATTTAAAATCATACTATATATAGAACAAGAATGTGTATGTGCACATATTCATATGCATGTGTCTGTACACGCACTCAGCTGTTGGTCTGCTACTCAGCTGACTCAAAGCAACCACAATTTATTACAGATCAAAAGATAAAAGATTGAAGACAAAAAAGCATCTAATGAATATACAAAGGTGAAGAAATCTATCCTTCAGCTTCAAATTATCTTTTTCAAGTTGATTTTGTTACTAGGAATTTCTTTCAACCCTTTGCAAAACAAATAAAATTATTTCCAAAAGTTACTGTAAATTGAAAGAGTCCAAAGCTACCCAAATTACAATTTCTATGTATTAACATGCATGCTGTACTCACTATGTAATTACTCTGCCTTTGTGTCACTGCCATATTTACCCCAGAAACCACAGTTTGTGTTTTTGTGAGCAGCAAAGCTATCTCTCTGCCGCTGGATGGAGGCTGGTAACAGATGTCACTTTTCGTTCTCTCTCTCACCAGCTCTACCTACTTCAAGTGCCCCAAGTTTCATGTCTCATTTGTAACAGTTCTGATGGCAGTTAAGCCCTTTAAGTCAACTGTATTCACTAACTCAACACAAAACTGTCCACTTTTTGATGGGTTAGTTTTTTGCTGGCTTAGTACATTGTGTGGGGTAACCCGCAAGTTTAATGAGCTTTGGAGTCACTATAAGGAAATTAGCAGGATGAATGACAATGAATAGGACACAGCTCTTTCATCTGTGGTGAACCAGTATTATGTCCTATGTGGTACGACCTCACATGGACAAGATATTTGTATTCAAAAGTTTTAAAGCAGACATAAATCAACACACTGCCACAATGGATGAAGCCTATGTCAGTGCTGGCAGCATGATGTCTGCATATATGCAGACGTGCTATCATCATTAGTTTAAAACATCAGCCAAGATTCCCTTGCCATCCACATAATTACCTCTGATCCTCTAAATAATTTAAGTCCATTAGTACTTCAGTGATGTTCTCTATACAGGATTCCAGTCATTTTTCTATGTATTTTTAATACCAAGGGACCCTAAATTGCCCTCACTACAAATTCCCCGTGATGAAGACTAAACACTCTCCCTTCTACAAAGCCATTTACTGAACCCTAATATATTAGTCTTATTCAGTTATTCCACCCAACCAGTTTAACTTACATTGCAGAGCTTAAAGTTCATAGTAACACCTGCATCGGTAGTCATACTTGAATACATATTGTTACTACCAATACTGCCTCATATGACAGCTTCGATGAAAATAAGGCATAATGACCTGGAAAAAAAAAAGGATTTTTCCCCCCCCACCCACTAAGCTCCTGTGTTACATATCCAGAAATGAAGACCACAATTTCTGGTTGCTAATACTTTTAATAGAAGGTGAACAGATCAGCTTTCAGTGCCTGTCTCAGGCTTTCAGTTCATTAGCTTAATCAGTGAACATCCACTGAATGCCTTGCAGATCCATCTTCATTGAGGGCCACCGGTAAAGATCCAGACTTCACAGCAAGGTTAGAACTCTCTTGTAAGCTTGGAATACTGATGAACAAAACTTTGTCTTCATCCATTAAACCCTAGCCACCAAGATCTGAAAGACCAAGCAGCTCCTATGCACATTCTGTTCCTTTTGTTGCCTTAACCTCAAGTGCAAACTTAACAATAGCAAGGAAGTGTGACTCTACCGATATTTATATCTGGCTTTTTAGCACACTGAGTAACCTTTTTTTTCCCCCCTCAATTAAAAATCTTTCTGATTAGACTGATCACAGGAGCAGCTTAAGGAGGACAGCCAAAGGCAAGTTCAAAAGACTGCAAGGTTGCTGTCTTTTGAACTTTGCAATGATTCTGCAAAACAATGATTCAGAGGCAGTTATGCACTTTGCAAGATCTTCACGTAGGTGATTTCAACAGAGCATTTCACATTTCGTTTCTGTGAAGATATTCTAAAAGTATTAAAATTGGGATGCCCGCTAACATAGTGTACCAGGACACAACTTTCTGGACTGTTTGATAAAACCAGCCTCCCCTTCCTATATTTGACAGTGGCAACAAATTTTTGGCAATTTATGGTTTTGTCTTAAGATAATGAGTAAGGGCTCTTGGTTCTTAAGCAGATTCTTCCTTAATAACAAACATGTTGAAGATAAACAAGTTTCTGATGTGACTAAAAGGACTAATTTTAAGGATGAAAGTATGGAAGTGAAATAAGTCAGAGTATTGAAATGGAGACCTGAAATGAGGCTGCAGTTTTGCTGTGAGATGGTGGTGTTTCTTAGAGGGTATGGTAACTATTGAAAGACATTCACAATAAAGTTTCAGCTTTGTTTCCCAAAATTGTCTTGCACATCCTGGATATCATTGGTATTGGAAGAATTATATACACCACCCTCCAACCCCCGTATTGCTATGAGACAATAGTAAATTTGGTGCCATCCTTCAGGGAACTAGAATTTTGCCATCTTACAGAAGCACTTCAATTCTGGTAGAAAAAGATCCATGTAAAGAAGGATTACGTATTGACTTTTTATATTAAAGCCTCACTAACACCATCTATAGCTATCTGGTGAATATAACGATGCGAAGGGGTAGGTAAGCTGCATTACTTTCCCCTTTGGGAACCTGCTTCTGTTTTCACATGGGATGAATTAATCACAGTATCAGTGTATAAGTGCCTGACAGAATCAGGCCCAATCTGAAATCCAACTTGTAAACAGCCAGGATCTCAGATGGGATTAATGATGTGTGAGACACATAGCAACACCATACTCCCCGTAAGCACTTTGATGGAGCATCTTAAGTGACAACCCTGGCCCTTCTCTTTTCCAGCTGCTCATTCCCACTCCTCTCGCACACCTATTTAACACGCTAGCACATACAGAATCATAGAATCGTTTTGGTTGGAAAGGACCTTTGAGATCATCGAGTCCAACCATATATGTTACCACGGATACTCAGTGAGTTGAACTGGTAAATCACCCAGACTGAAATTAGCTTTAAAAAACAACCTGGGTTAATTTTAATCCAAGTCAGCTCCTCAGCCCAGTTAACTGTGTTATGGTGCAGAAATTTGGATGGGGTGGGGCAGGTCTGAAGGATCCATATCTTTCTTGGCAACACTCCTGACTTACGTCAGGATAAAGGAACTAACCATTGGCATAAAAAGTAGCCACAATCAATAAAATACAATCATATAACATCTTAGTTGCTAAAGCACCATTAAACTAAATGTAAAAGTATGAGAATCCATAAAATCAAATTTCAGTCTCAAAAAACCAAGTATTAGGTGTCAAATTAATTATATAGAACTTAAGGAGCCTTTAAAATACTTAAAACTAGCCCTCATATAGTACATCCAACAGCAAAAAAAACGCAGTTCATGAGAAACTTTGAAAACTTTCAGAATGCTTCACTACCCCAGTCTCCTTTGTCAGTCTACTACAATCACTGTGAAGGTATAATAGTGAGGACATAATGCTAGAACTTTAGATATAGTTGAAAGACTTTCGGGTGTTTTTTTTCCTCTCTTCGTATTTCAGGTGTTTTATCAAAATCAGCCATGTTTAAGAGATCCGTTTTTAAACTGATTAGCTAAAACTTTGCCATTGTAGTTTGCAATTCACTCCCCCCCTTATTAAATAGGGAACATCAAAGACAACAAGATAAATAATCTGTCAAACAGGGATTTGTGACAAAGTAATTCAAGTACTGAAACCACAAAACAAACAGAATTATCCATTTTCCTAGAATCCTTTTTAATAAAAACAGTCATCCCACCCAGCTTGCTTGATTCTGTAGTTCCAAGTCACCTCCGTTTTGCCCTCTGAACCACAGAAAACTCTGAAAAGTTTATGCTTTCCAAGACTATGGTTAAAAAAACCCATCCCATTAATCTGGCATGGTTTTTAAAGGCAAACTCAGACATAGTGGTATTGTTATTTTCTTCTTTTGACTTTCAAGCTTTTATTATTTCTTTTTTAAACACCATTATTGTTAGAACTGAAGACGACCTTGACTTCTCAGATCACCTAAGTTTTCCTTTAGAAGGCAGATGTCTTGAGTGGAATTTTGTCTGTTCTACTAGCATAACTTAAGAAGGAAATATTATAGTTACCGCAATTCCCCAAGGGTCTAAAAAATTCAGGAGCAGTCATAGTTTCCCCATGCTCATAAAACAATTAATCTTAAAATCAATTTATCTTCTGGACTTCAAAGTGAACAGACAAGCAAAACCAGGACAGTCATTACTTTTATAAAAAGGCTTATCTAAGGAGAAAAACAAGATTACTACTAAAAAAAGTCAGGCACAAAAGAACCACCTTTCTATTTCATCCAGACAAGAAACGACAGACACCTGCCATTTGCAGACCTGAGATCTACATGTCTGTTTTACCAGATCACATAAAGAAGTGACAAGACAGGAAATTCATGCCATCAAAGAAACCTAAAGAGCTATTAAGAACTACTCGACTACTCGACAACCATAAAATGCTGTTTATGTGTGCACTGTGTTTACCTTGCTGTGATCTTAAGAGCATTACAGCACCCGATTCAAACCACCCAAAACATATTTTTTAAAAAAATTAACCCTCTTTCTTGTTCCATCTAGTAGTAAAGATTACATCCATTGCCGCTAACAGCAAAAGAAAAGTCTATACGCTAAAATAGTAGGAGTAAGCTCTCCGAAAGCAATCTGAGGAGTTTTAGTATATAATGATACGCTTATGCACAACTTTAGCAATCCCTTTTCTGCTGGGCACACACACATGTTCCTTTAATATTATTATTATTATTACTTGCCTGTTGCAGTCCCACTGTCGCTCTGCAGCAGTGCTCCTGTCACTGGTTGTGCGTTGTTTGGGTTTGCTCCTGGTGCTGTTGGGGGAGGAGGCCCTGCTCCACCCCCAAGGAGCATACAGGATGGTGGAGGGGGCTGCCCACGTTTCAGTAACACTTTGTGGTCCTGCTGGCAACGGAATCGCGGCGGCACCTCCCGAGGCATGTAGCGGGCGGCGCTTGGCGGTTGTCCGTTCGGCACTGCCACCCTTTTGGCATTGTTGCCACCATTGACTGGTGGCGATGGAGAGTTGCCAATTGGGCTGGCAGCCACTGGTTGGCTTAAACTTGGTTTCGTCACTTCGGGCACTGAAAAATAGGAAGAATGGAAATCAGAAATTTTTTCACTTAAACCTGTGTTAGCAACAAGAAGTCACTGCTACTCTTTCCTTTTATAATTTCATTCTGTGCAACTTATCGAAGAACAATTTAATTAAACAAGCAGGAATAAACAGTAGGGGTAAACCTCTTGCTTCCATGTACGACTCTGTACCCCACGATGAAACTCTGTCCTCAGCAAGTCTTTTGCTCTAGGCCTCAAATTCTTGGAAACGTAAAGTTGGCAAAGAATATCACTCTGGGCAATGAGTCATTTTAAAATATGAGCAGTCAAATATAACTGGTTTCCACCTCCCACTCCGTTTCCTGACCTTCAACTGGTTTTTGGATTGTTAAGCACCACCCTTATGGGAGATCTGAAATCAGATCCCAAGTTTTCACCTGCTTACCAGGCTACACAGCCACTGCCAAAACAAACAAACAAAAAAGGGGGGGGGGGGGGGGGGGGGGACAGGACGGGACCTCCAACCCAAAAAACTTCAAACTCTCCTCTTGGATTCAGAGTTAACAAATCTGAGTTCTCTGTACTGCTCTGAAATAAGGCAGTAACGGTTGACTCTCACCCAAAAGGCAATCCCACATACAGCGTTTGTATTGGGCTCACCTAAAGTTTCCCAGCTGGTCACCGGGTGCCCCTATAAGCAAGGACAAGCTGCTTCTGAGGGCTATTAGGCATTGGAGAAGAGGAAAACCACAAACAAATCCTTGAGGAACTAACACCATTACAAAATTTTCTTAAGAGACTCTAGACTTGTGACCCCATACTCACATTCTCCACTTGCTTTTTTGAAACAGCAAAAGAAATTCCTAGCCAGGCACCTAGAAGGTGTAACTGCTAAGACATTAGTCTCCAAAGGCAAGGAAAATTTAATGTATCTACTCTAGCCTTTGCTGAAGACTAATACAAGACAGGGATGTTCAGGAATCCCTCCCCAGCAAAGTGAACATAATCAGTAAAACTTTTCCTCTTACAAATACAAGGTCAAAACAAGTGAGTCTTCCTTTGGCAACATGAATGCATTATTCCCCACGTTTTATTTTCTAATTTCTCTATATAGGTTACATTGCCCAAAACAAGGTATTGTTAGCTGTAAAATCAAGTTACTAACTTAGTTCTCTTCTGTTAATAAAGGCAATTTCCCCACACAGTTTTTAGAAAACTGACACATAAATCAAGATTAAATACATTTTTAGATCAGCTAAAGAAGCTTAACTTGCAAGATGCTCACTCATCAGTCCTGCCTTATCTGTTGGACTTTTAGGTTCCTGAACTTCTCTTAAGCTTCCAAAACTAAGTAATTTTCAATCAAGTTGGTACCTCACCATAAGCAGTATTTCTCTGTCTTTCATTCCCTTTATATAGCTGGTTTCAGTTTTTGGTTACTTGTCTAAAACCTTTGCAAAACTGAAAACTAAGTATTTCAGCTAACCTATTTCATCCACAATCCTCACTCTCTCCAACTATTTCGATGCCAACAACACGGATAGCTTTAGGTTCTCCATTTTAGTCACCTGAACTTTTATTTCTTCTGAATACCCATCCTCAGTATTTCATCTTCACTTGCAATTCCCCTTTCCTTTTCCAACAGTTTTGATCAAGATTCACGTCTTGGCTCAAGTCAATAAAAAATACCCTTTAGGATCAAAGATTCTTACCTTTGGTTTTTTGATCTGTGACCTGCAAATTAAAAGCAAGAATGTAAATAGAGTTTTAAGAACCTCAAAACAAACACTGAACAGGCTGCGCTAAATCATGACCTTAATTTATTAGCACAAGAGTAATATTTGCTGTTACATCAAAATAATCAGCCGATGTACCACAAGTCTATACAGTATTCCTAGTCACATATATGAAGTTTTCAAAAAATACTGCCGCTCCTGTATACCTTTGCCTGATGCAAAAGTCCTGGCAGAAACAGTAATTACTTCACTCATCATGATTTTTAGTATTCACCCCCCTTCTTGTCCCAAACATGGGCTTCCAAAGCACAAATAAACACGTGCTACAGCCTTATAGTTCTTTCAGATTTTGGAGGTGAAGTATTTAACCGTACAGTTAAAGTGTAACAAAAACTTCCTTCTATGAGAGCATCCTTACAGCAGACTGATGGGGCTAGCAACGGAATTCCCACAGGAGTAACCACAGGTGAGAGTAGCAGTCTGTCTCTCTGCCATCTTCCTATTTCACCTTTCTCTTGGCATCTCTTCCAAGGAGAAGAAAGCCTAAACCTTACTGCATTCATTGCCACAATTACAAAAAGTACCAGCAATATCTATAAAGCACCAGACCTCAAAATCTCTTGAACGCAATAAGAAGTTGATTACTGAAGTGAGCCATCATGCTGGCCAACGTACCCAACATGTGGTTTTGCTTTACTTCTACATTCTTTCAGCATAGCAGATTTCAAGCTACGGTAGAGACAAACATACCACTGCTATATTCTCTGGAATCATGTGTATTGTAGCATGTTTTGAACCTGTCGATCATGAGTTCCACTACATAATAATGGAAAAACCCTAAAGATCATCATGTGTCAGGTTCTATGACACCTATTCTTAAAAGAAATTGCTGAACTAGTCCATAATTCTGGAAAGCACACAGTGACAGTATAGAATAATGAAAACACAAGTAAAAAGCAGTTTATTGTTTAAACCAGCCAAGCCAGAACTCCTTTGTATGGTAAAGAACAAAAACACAAACTGCACTGAATTGCTATGGCATCATTTACTTTGCAAAGATGAACACTGCAATACGCAAAGTGGAACATTCACTATATAACACGAAATCTTAACCATCCTAACTTCAAAGAATTACGTAATCCATAAGTCTCCAAGACCCTAAAAATGCACCTGTACCAGAACTGCATCTGTACTCAGTCAGACATCAGTTTTCACTTCACTTATGAAAAATCCTGTATGCGTCAAATTGCATCTTCTTCCGTAACACAGTTTAAAATTCTCTTAAGCACTTCAGTGACTCTGCTGCTCCACTACTAAAGGAAAAGGGGGAAAAAATTTTTTCCTAAATCCAATCTGGTAATGCTGATATGTCTACTATGGTCAACAGTAAACATATTCAGTAAATGAGTAACTCGTCTACCTGGAAGAACCCCATTTTATCAAATCTTTAAAGAATTCTACACCACAACCACAGTTTGCTTTAGGAACAAAACCCCACAATTACTTCTGCCTATATGGCATCTTTCTCCTAGTTAAAATGACCTATTTTTGTGATGATTTTTTTTTTTTTTTTGGTCTAGAATACAAAAGCTGAGAAGATGTCACACTGTCTCAGATTTACAGCTGTCATCTCTCTGTGGACAACCTATAAGCATCAGCAGGGCAAGAGCAGCTATAGTGAACGGGGAGGTGGAGTCAAGCTCAGCCTTCTGACAAGCTACCAAACAGCCCCTGGGACACGAACCACAGGAATTTAGCCGGTGAATTTGCTTGCATAACCTCTGTGGGAGTGATTTTTAAAATTTTTTTAAATTTCAGAAGATTCAGACAGAAACAATTGTTTCATGTTGTACAAACTCTGTCTGAAAAAGCTACCCCCAAATCCTTACTGCTTGTTTGATCAACACCACCACAGTCACTAAGAATGAAGACACACATTTATGTTCTGTCCATTCGGTTGCCTGCTTTGCTGTTCCTCAGTATCTCCAAGTATTACTGTTAAATTTGGTCTCTAGTGTTTACCCTTCCCAAGATTTTAGCAAAATATTGTAACATTCAATCATACTGAATAACTTTAGTAGGTGAGGGACCACACAGGAAAGCTGGCAAATCTCCTTTGTATTCAAAGCACCGATTCCTCAGTAAACGCTCACAGCACTGTTATCGAGATGCTTGGTACAACCCTTTCAGGTTTCTCTTGCATCATTGAATATCAGCCTGTAATTCTCAAGACACTTATCTTTATTTACCAGAGTCTGCTCCTCCTGGTTCCTATACATACTTTTTGTACTTCACCATTAAACAGCAGCAACACTGAGGCAAAAAGACACTGAAGAAACCTTATTCTGTAGCTACTGATCTTTCACAGTATTATTGGGGATGTATCAACACAGTGGCTGGATAAAGACAACAGAAATACACCAGTTTATCCACACCTAATTTAAACTCATAGACTTGAATTGGTGAAAAAGCCAGATTTTCAAATCCCGGATAAACCAAAATTTAACTGAAATTGATGCTGGCTGTTCTCAGCAGACACTACAGAATCTAACAGAGTGACATCTGATATTTCATAGGATCTGCTGTTACTGAAGCAACTGAAAAACACAAGACTACTGAAAAAGTAAAGCTTTCTGCTCTCAATTTCACATAATCATTGAGGTTGGAAGGGACAGCCTCTGGAGATCTAGGCCACAGTTCTCATCCTTGTTTCCCACCTGCCCTCAGGATTCTTCCCAACTCAAAAAAAACACCAGCAATAAACCCCATCAAAACCAGATTGCACAGGGCCATGTCCAACTCGGTTCTCAGCATCTCCAAAGATGGAGGCACCACAACCTCTCTGGGAAACCTGGTCCAGCGGTTGCCCAGCCACACACACAAAAAAGTATTTTTCCAATCAAGTGGAATTTCCTGTATTTCAATTCGTGCACAATGCCTTGTGCCTTGTCACTGGGCACCAGTGAGAAGGGGCTGCCTCCACCTTCTTTACTGCCTCCCACCAGGTATTTATATACATTGGTTGTTAAGATTCCCCTGAGCGTTCTCTTCTCCAGGCTGAACCATCCCACCTCTCTCAGCCTCTCCTCATTTGCTAGATATTCCAGTCCCTTCATCATCTCAGCGGCCTTTTGTTGGACCTGCTCCAGGATGGTTACATCTGTCTTGTACTGGGAAGCCCAGAACTAGACAGAAAGGATTTTACCAGTCAAAAAGCAAAGATAAAGCTGCAAGAGACTCAAGCTCATCTATCAAGTTAACTCCTAGAACAATCAGCAAAAATAGAGAGCTTCTAATAGACCAGGTGTTCAAACTCATTTTCTGAGCGAAAACAATTTTCAGTGACTTATCAATTCTCCACAGCTCAGACTCAAACTGATACACTTCAGCAGAAGTATTATTAGGTACAGAAAATGTAAAACCTAAGTGATACCTAGCAAAAAATAAAGGGAACCTTCAGTAGTAAAGATTTCATATAAACTTCCTTAAGGACTTAAAAAAAAAAAGTATCATCTTGGTCTAGAAAATATTTAGTGCTTTTTACTCCAAGACTTGCAAAAGCCTGGCAGCATTTCCATCCCCAAACACCTCAAAACAGCAGGAGCTGCACAGACGAAGAGAACCCATATCCAGTAATTTAAATTTAATATTTTATATCAAAAAACTTCTTTTACTTCACATAGAATCATAGAATCATTATGGTTGGAAGAGACCTCAAAGATCATCAAGTCCAACCGTGTACCTGATGCCACCATGTCTACTAAACCATGTCTTGAAGTACCACATCTAAACGTACTAAGGAGAAAAAATGTCCAAGTTAAACACTTAAGTTCCAGAAAAAAATGATGCAAAAACTAGTTTTTAATGAGGTATCACTCTAACCAATCAAGCTTTTAAGCTCAAATACAAACAATTTAACATCTTACTACTCCCCAACACTATTTATGTTCCAGCTGAATAAAAGAATTCAAATATCAAAATCTACCTTCTGAGCAGATTCCTTCTTTTTCTTATCCTCTTTCTTCCTTTTCTTGTCTTCCATTAACTGTTCTTCCCTTTCTTGCTCCTTCTCTCTGCCAAAACATGAAAAACAACGGTATGAGCACAATCAAGTTCTATAAGAACCACCACGCATACTATATTCCTCTTCCCCCCCAGAAAGGAAGTCAAGATACTGGATACCTCTTATCATCATACTTCATTTGCATTTGAGGGTTTCAGTCTAACTGAGATAAGAAAAGCACCTTCTACCTCAGTGTGGTCACAATCATGCCACTTGCTGCATAAAGCAAAATTCCTTTATTCAGATCAGGGCTCTTATGGCAGTACCGTATATAAATTAACTGCAGGTCTGATATTAGAAAATATCTTCAAGACATTTTGGCCAAAGTATCCTTTTAATTGGGTTGTGCTATTATTTAATGAACAGTCTCATAAATCTTTTCATACGGTAAAAAAAAGGGAAGTTGTAATTTAATATAAGATGGTTTGGTCTGATACAACATTTATCTTCAAAAGGGGAAGAGATTATTCTATTGCCTGTAGCTATGTCACTTGTAAGAGACTAGAAGTGTCATATCAAATCAAACCCATCATTTATTATACAAATCACTAATTTAATTTCTAGCCTATTGTACCCACCCACAGAATTTTTGTGACGAAATCTGTAATATAAATTACTTTCCAGGGAATCTATTTTTTCCATAAGAACATTCTTTCAAAAAAGGAAGAAAAATACGTGCAGTTGCTATTGTTGTCAAGCTATCATCTCGTTGCTATGTTTCCCATCAAATATGAAAGTACCAGAAAACAGTTAATCTACTGCATATGTGCTATTGGCTGAGCTGTTTCTATGGTGAATCACATTTTCGTTAACCAGTTCTCTTCATCTCCTCAGAAGTAAATTTAAGACCAAGTTTTCAGCTCACTTGGAGTAATTTCTTTTTATAGGGTAATCTTAAGACAAAGACAATTAATTAATGTAGAAAGATGATCTGACAGATAAGGGGTAGAATCAGAGAGCACAGATGTGTACTTTACAAATGGGAAACAAGAAGTATAACCCATGAACAAGATTTTATAAAAAACCAGAACACCTTTATAAATGAAACGGGAGTTTATAGTAGTACCAAACCATTTCTTATATTTACGCACAAATCAAAGCTCTTTTTTGACCACAGCTTAAAAAAAATAATCTTACAGTTGAGTTGGCTTTGCTGTCACATCACTCAGACTTCTTCTTTTGGATTTATATGCTATAGGTAATATTTTGGTTTGCATTTTTACTAGATACAGCCAAGTCAGTGTACAAAGAGACATCTACATAACTAATTAACTCCTACAAAAATATTTTGGGATGTTATGTGTTAACAGTTTCCTGATTAAGAGAGTTCTTTGAAGTCCTCAAAGAGAAAAGGTTCTATGGACAGTAACCAAATATCTCCCTGGTTTCTAACGTTAGGCTCTCCTTCTTCATGGATGGAGAAAATGAAGAGGGGCAAGAAGAGTCCTGAGGGACAACATCCTGAGGTTATTACCAAATACAATTCACACATAATGGCTTAAGTTCAGTCTGCATTTAACAAAGTTTGAAGCAAGCATTCCACATCATACAGAACAGTGCTTCATGCACTCTGTCTGGCATTGCTTAAGCCAGGTCAATTCTTGCTCTTTTCTGTTCTCTATAAAATGTCAAAGCCCACTTCCCAGCCCTAAACTCTGGCAAGGAAAAGCTCTGCAGGTTTTTCAGTTTTACTGACGCACAAGCCATGAAGGACTGGGGAAGTTAATATACTTTGCATTGTCTGTCACGGCACTGAGAAAAAAATTTTGTTTTCTTTGAGGCAGATTGTAAGCAATCTGAAAAAGCTCTCACCCTCACCTTTCAAAGTTACTATAATCTCAAATTATGTTTACTACTTTTGCACTGCCAAGCTCTGTGTGCCTTTTGGGCTGCAGTGCCAGTTACAAGTATGCTACTTCCAAAAAACTTTCTTGCGGCAGGCAAAAGTTTAAGAGTTGTCTTCAAAGAGCTGCTGAAAGAGGGTAGGATCAAAATACAAAATGACTTCCAGTAACTGCCTGGCACACAGCCTACCTTCTACTTCAAAACACCTTCCTAGTTTTGTGAGCAGAAGAGCAGGGAATGGAAAAGAATGAGAAAAAGGTCACATTCACAATCAAAGCTAAAGCTGTGGCTTACAACGACACGTAGCACTAATACTAAAAGGGACCAAGGACAGAAGAGCCATATCCTGAAAGTAAACACCTAATTATGGTCATCTGCCTTTGTGGTAAGTTCAGGACAGGGAGATTGCTACTGCTGCTGCCTTGTTTTGAGATGTATACAGACAAAAACCCGTGGTACTAAGGCTGCAGAGAAGCCCTTTGCTTTGCATGACGACCTCCCCTTCTGCTCTTTTCGTAGAGATGTGCATTTAATATTCCATTGGGCACATCATTAACAACTACAAAATAGCAATAATCCATACGTAGTAACCTAGGCTTCAATTCATGTGAGCACACACGTAAATGCTACTGAGGTAGAAGGGACCTATCTGAACACGGGCTGCATCAAATGCACAACACCATAAAGTTCCTGCCAAAGCATAACTGAAACCTCACAAAGATGTAGGAAGCATGAAGTTATACTCTCCAAATGATAAAGCAAGAATTGATCCTACAGACATACTAACAACATACCACTATGTTCAAAGTTCACTGAATTAGGTGGGGGAATAGTTTATCGCCATTTTGGGTATCACCCTTGCCATCTTCCCACTTTCACTCTTTGATGCATTTCACTAATATTTGAAGTTTTATGATCAATGGTTTCCCTTCTCAGTTGCAGGCAAGAAGCTTGTTAAACACAAACTTAACTTGCAGTGTTAAGTGTTTCGATAAATTTAACACAGACAAAGCTCTCGAGTACCTCAACGATCCGTTGAGAAGACAATGCTGCCTATTAACCTTCTCTCATTAGCCAAAAGACAATTCTTCCAGGCCCGGTCAAGGAAACCGGGGAGTCCATCACGTACATTCCAGCAACCAGCTGCTTACATTGACAAGATCAACACGAGGAGAAAATCCATCGACTCCAAACGAGTGAATTTAGAGTAATACAATAGGGTGTGGTTCCGGTTTTTGTTACTGGCACATAGCAAAAGGAACATGGACACACCACAACCCTGAAGAGGAAGCTTGCTAAAGAGCAATCAGCAGCCAGCTTTTTACTTTAGTTTTCTTCGAGAAAGCATGTGTTGATCTTAAAAATATGATCTAATTGCACTTTCATTTTTCCCACAAAATCTTAGAATCAACAACATCGAAAAGCATTTTAAAAGCGTATTACAGACTTTAATTCTGAGAATTTAACAGCATATTAACAGCTTACAAATGAAGAGAAATTATAGGTTGTAATCCAAAATTTTATAAAACCCCCAAATCAAACCAACCCAGTAGCTATGATGCAGTACACTCAATGCTTTATCTAAGTTCTTATGACAACCTCTTCCAGCTAAGACAAAAGCAATCATTTCACAGAAAAGAAGGTTTTTCAGCTAGTTAACTAGAGAAGTAACAGAGAATACTTGTGAAGTCCAAGTTACTAAAACAGATAGCCATTTTGGGGAAAAAGAGAAAAAGTACGCATTTGAGACGCATCCCCTCCCACAAAACAATTTACCAGTTTTGGAAAATGTTAATGTCCAGCAAAATCCTAATATTCATTTTTCGAGAAAACTCTATTTTAAAAAGACTTATTCTTGCAATGTATGGGCTTGAGGCACGGGTAGAGGGCAGAAGTTGTCTTCAAAGTTCTTGCTATCCCAAACTGAACTGTGAGACGAGATGACGTACTATATATTACACGCTATCTGCTGGGAACACGCTTTAATAGGTAAAGATAAAGTGCCACACGGAGTATTAGTCTACACAAAAAACCCCACAACTGTATAAAGTCACACCCTCAAACGAAAATTGCACAAAAAAAATGTAAGTAAAACGCAAGAAGTGAAAATTCCTAGAAAGTTGGGCGTGGCACTTTAGTGCGTGTTCCTTCCACAGGGCTACAGGACAACAGCGTAACAGTGTTTGGAGGTTCCTCATACGCGAGGATGCGGACTATGCACCAGTACTGTGCATCATTTCCCCCCTCTTGACTCCATGCTCTACCTTCAGTACAGTTAACTCGGCTTAGCTACACTGTAATACAGTTATTTAGCTATACTATACCACAGCACAGGAGTGACAGAAAACTTCTATATACCCGTACTCGGCACTGGTGAGGCCGCACCTCGAGTGCTGTGTTCGGTTCTGGGCCCTGCACTTCAAGAAAGACCTTGAGGTGGAGCGAGTTCGGAGAAGGGCAACGAAGGTGGTGAAGGGTCTGGAGCACAAGTCTGATGGGGAGCGGCTGAGGGAGCTGGGGGTGTTCAGTCTGGAGAAGAGGAGGCTGAGGGGAGACCTGATCGTCCTCTACAACGACCTGAAAGGAGGGGGTAGTGAGGTGGGGGTCGGTCTCTTCTCCCAGGCAACCAGTGACAGGACAAGAGGGCATGGTCTGAAATTGCGCCAGGGGAGGTTCAGGATAGAAATGAGGACAAAGGGTCATTCGGCATTGGAATGGGCTGCCCAGGGAGGTGGTGGAGTCCCCATCCCTGGGGGTGTTTAAGAAAAGCCTGGAGGTGGCACTAAGTGCCATGGTCTAGTTGACGCGGTGGTGTTAGGGCAAAGGTTGGACTCGATGATCCCAGAGGTCTCTTCCAACCAAATCGATTCTGCAATTCTGTTGCTGCATCCTGTTCTCTGCATTGTAATAAGCATAGGATGATTTACAAATCTGCTTCCAAATTGTGAGCCAGCCTCTGTATCTTCTTCCAGAATACAGGGGATTCCAAAACTACATTCGTAGGATCAGCAGCACTTCAACAGAACAAGCTTTTATCTGTAGAGCTACAAGGTCACATTAACAACTGTTGAATTTTCCCTAAAGGTTTCAGCCATAACTAGTCAGAGCTAAAGGTCATCGCTTATGTGAGATAAAGATTCACATGCATAGACCAGTCTCAC